AAAAGAGAGCCGGATTACTCCAAAACATAGTTTTCCAGTTAACAAGTCAGCCACGGGGTCACCGGGTTCCACAAGCTATACCTCCTTTTGTGACTTAACTGTAGAAGTTTTGACAAACACAAGATCAACACTTTACAATCCATTATTACTAAGAAAACTGACTATGGCGTTTTCAGAATGGTGCCATCAACTGGAATGTCGAAAGATGTTGTAAGTGATGGGAAAGTGTTCTTTCTGCAGTTGACCAGCAGTGCACAGCAGCAGATGGGAGTGAGGAACTTTTATGCCACTCTGACAACATTTCGGTACTATGACACTTTCTTCGGGATGAGATGAACCGAAATTGAGACCATTGGAATGGAATATAGGGGGAAAAAAATGTATGCCTTTAAAACTGTAACTTTTTAAAAAGCTTTGCATGACGTGACACAGACGATCAATCAATCCCTGCCATAAAAATTAAGAAATGTAGGAAAACTATGAAAGTTCAGAAAAACTTCACACCGACACTGTAACAAATAAACGGAACAACACTAGATGCAGTAATCCTCTCTCGAGATGCGCGGAGTCTTTCCAAGCATTTTCGTTTTTGCACCTCTGTCCAGGAGCATGATATTAATGTGTGGGTAATAATGGTGGGGAAAGAATGAGTGAGTAACGACTAGTCTTGCTTGTGCAAAATTATGTTCTTGTTTAATGGTCTAAGCATCTATCAACCCTCAGGCTTTAATTACTGTGTGAGGATAATGAGTCAAATCCAATCAGTTCTCTCTCTTGCTCTTAATTTGTATGGAGGTTCTACTTTGAAGCCAACCACTTGAAGCTCTCACACCAGCTGCCCTGGAGTAACACCAGGCTTCTGTCAGTGGGGTGTGTTTATGCATGTGACCTCTGTCTCTTGCACACCGACACATCCATGCAAATTAGATTGTATAATTGCCTGATTCAATAGTCTCACATGCGACAATTGCCAAGTGTGTATTGCAAATGCTGTGATTCATTTAGATGAGTCACAGTGTGACTTAAAGAAACTACATTCACCTATACAACTGGCTAGTGCTAAGAAAGAGTCGTTGTCATTTAAGTAGTCTGACTGCCAATGCTAAATGGTCAAGTGTGTGTGCGCGTGCATGCGTGTGTGTTTGAAGAGATTCTGAAACCTTAATGGATTCCTGCAGAGTGAAGGACAATCGTTGCCCATGGCCAGTCCAAGCTTATCCTCTGCTCATCTCATCTCAGCTCAGAGCCAGCCGAATCTCGAGTTAGGCCTCGGGCCATCTGGCTGCCACTCACCACACACTCACATTCACACGTCCATGCACACACACACGCACACACACACACACTGCCACACGTGAGCGCACTTACGCAAATGTAAACAGTGGATTCCGCAGTTTCATGCTTGTTTGAAGATACACCACTTAAAAAATCTCTGCATAAATATGAGGTGCATCCGTCTTTATTTGCAGTGTGAAATCAAACCGTAGTCCTGTAAGTTGTCAGGAAGTGTGTTTGGACAGGTGTGAAATATGAAGGTGTGAAACTCGACACAATATGGGCAAAGTAGAGATTCGCTCCTGCCTGAAACAGACAAGTTATCATGGCTGATGCCACCGATAAAGATTAAATAATGGATATCCTCAGATATAGTTAAAAATGTGTATTTACCCAATAGATGTCTTAGAAATATGCTGGGGAAAAAAAATAGGTTCACAAAATGCTTTCTGCTTTCTGTACATGTAAATTACCTCTATAACATAGTGTGGATTTTTACCAGGCGATGATAAACTTGTCAATTGCCCAATGACTGCCTATTTTCCTACAGCCTGCTGTTATGCTTTCATGCATTGATAATCATACTTGAGCCATCTTCCGAAGTGAAAAAAAATCAGAATGGACAAAAGCAGTAACATGCAGGTCAGGTTTGTATAAAAAGTGGGAATTGACAGGAATAACAAAAATTCAAAAATGTATTGATATGGCGTGACTCAGCTGGTTGTGTTTATTTAAACCACTGAATTACAGCTGATTTTCCATTTATCGTTGTTTTATTAATCTAGCACTTAGAAAAGTACTCATAACCCTCGACAGGCATCTTGGACCCTCTATTGAATTAGATTTTTTTCCCAACCATCTGCTATGATTTCATTATTTCATTATGATTTCATTATTTTATTTTAATAAAATAATGTTTTAAAAATAATGTTTTAAAAATAATTTGCTGAATTAGAAGTTAATCTTTTGGACCATTAACTCCTAATGTTGTGTTACCTTGCCATCACAGTGACTGAGATGGCGGCAAAAAAAAAAAAAATGGATTTAGAATCATAATTTGGCGATTGGACAGCCAGCATAATACTGTCACATCTGGAATTACTGACTCAGTTTAACAACAAAGAAGACAGTAGCTGCAGTGTATTGTATCTACTCCTCTGAGTCCCACATGTACCTATAAGTACCATTAATACAAATATTAATATGTGTATGAGTGCTAACGAAATGCTACTGCCAGTCGCAGCGCAAAAAGAGAACGCTACGTTGTAAACACAGCAGAACTGATTGTGCTCACTGTCGTAGCATTAGTATGACTCTTAACGTTTTAACATTAGCAAATGGGACGCCATCTCTTCTTTGCGAATTTATAATTCTGTCAGATTTGTTTTTCAGCAGAGTCTCAAACAACCAGGCAGCGTGTTTTAGTTTGGGTCATCACTGGATACACAGGTTCTAGGGTTACTTTGAAGACGTTGTTTTTTACTCAACCAGCGAGATCAAGACGTCTGCACACCTCTATTCCCAATGCCGCTGTGGCTGTGGGCAAAGAGAAGGAGCTTGTGTAGAGTTTTATAGTTTTGTGACATCTTGGGAATTCCAGCTGTGAAACTCCTCCTTCCTGGGAGATGTCATGAAAATGATGTAATTCTGAGATTAAGAGTTTTTCTCATTTTGTTTTGTTCTCTGCATGTTGCTCCATCCTTGTTCCTTCCCGTGGCTGGGCCCAGCGCTGCTGCTGGTCCTCTTCACTTCTTCCCTCCTCTTGGCGTATTATATGGTTCTAATTGCTGGCCAGCTGTACACTGCTGTGTATTTACACTGCAGGGTAGTTAAGAGAACAAGGCCACACACTGGCACTACGCATTGTAATCCCACTGTGATACCACAACTCAGAATGTGTGTTTACATGGCGGTGTGTGTGCTTGATTGAAACATGCACACCGCTATGTCTGTGTGTGCGCTAGTGTGCTTGTGTGGTTTTTTTTTTTGCATTTGAGTGTGGACTTGTTTGTCTGGCCTCGCCTGCTGTTTGCATCTCCGTGTGCTTTAATTAGTATGCGATTTTTGCATCAAGGCTTTTGTGATTTGGCACTGGCACTGCATGCTGGCGAGGCATAAAAGATCTGAAGTCTTTCTGTGCTAGTCATTCAGCCCAAATGGCTTTAGTTACACAACTGAACTGAAGTCCCTATTGCATAAACAAGTGGCATTTAGAAATATGAGCGAGTCCAATGTGAGTGAGTCATATTGCACAGTTCCATGACTGAAATGACTGACACTGACATTAACCCAGATGGACACTCGTCCTGAATGGACAGCGTATGAAACTTAAGCAGTGTTAGCTCAGTTTCAGGAAGGGAAAGCGGCCTTGCTCTGTGTATTTTAGCACTAACAGTAAAAGAGGAGAGAGGCTGACTCAGTGTCCTTGTCTACCGCCGAGCCTGTCTTGCAGAGGGAGGTACTGTGCAATGAAAGGCTCTGTTTATAAAGAACTTCTGCCTTATTAAAGTAGAACTAGTACTGTCTGTCTAGATTTGACAGTACGCTCACAGCCAGGTCTGTAAGTCCACGTCCTTCCCTCTGACATTGCAAAGAGGATCTCAGTCAAAGACGTCTGGTCCTTCAACACAGCAGAGAGCTCTGCACCTAAAGGCTTCGTTTGCAGGTTAAATCTCTATAACGTTCTCCTCAAGGAGGGGTTAGACATTTCAGGACCATGGACAGCGGCCCTCGCATTCACTGGCACGAGATTCAGTTTTAATTTTCAGTTTTCACAGTGCCTCTGTTTGCATTTGTTTTTTTTTTTTTTTGTTTTTGCTTCCACCTGCACCGCAAAGAATGTTCATAGTCGTTTTGTTATTTTTGCATGTGTGCCTGATTACATGAGCAGTTAAATGCACGTAGTTATGGAGAGCTAGAGAGACAACGAGTGTCTCTCTCAGAGCCTCTTTGCAGCCCTCTTTCATGCCTCTCAGTCTGGCTCAGCGATTAACCCTGAGTACCTCACTGTCCCATCTGACCCTTTTCCTCTCAGAGCCGCTGCAGTACATTGACATTCCTCTGAGTGGGCTGATTACTAGCAGTAGGTATGCAAATGGCGTACAAAGCTAAGGTGAAAGTTTGCAAAGACACTCATTTTCTGTTTATTTATTTTTATTTTTTTCTTGTTCCACTATCACATCCTCTTGAACTCCGGCTGCATCTAAATGTTCAGCTCCGTTGCATTGTTTAGGTGGAATAAACAAATAATGTTGGAAAGGACACTTTTTTTTCTTCTTTTCTATCCCTTTGCGGTGTGGGAATGAGCATCATAAGCTGTTGCCTGGTTGTGTGTAGGAGTTTGTTAACATTTGAAACTCTCACAGTTTGTTTCACAAGTGGTGCCATATCTCACTGGAGAAGCTGGTTTGGCTGCAAACCCCGGAATGCCAATATGTGATCTGTGATGTTCCAATGTGGAAATCAAACGGCCAGGCTGTACATTACTACTCGTTGAATGCAGGGCACTAATGGATAATTTGTATTTTACATCATTACTTGTTCAACCCGCTCTCGTCAGACACTCTATATATATATATATATATATATATATATATATATATATATATATATATATATATATATATATATGATATTTACGACGATGCTGAATAATAAAAAGCCTTTTGAAGGTTTTAAGGTTTAGTGAATAATCAATAATCCGCTCTCCTTTGTTCCCTTTCCAGCTCTAAGCCGGTCAATGATGCCATTCGGTCTGATGCGCCGGGAGCTGGCATGTGAAGGCTACCCAATCGAGTTGCGCTGTCCCGGAAGCGATGTCATCATGATTGAGACGGCCAACTACGGCCGCACCGATGACAAGATCTGTGATGCGGATCCCTTTCAGATGGAGAATGTGCAGTGTTACCTGCCCGACGCCTTCAAGATAATGTCACAGAGGTAAGTATTGATTTGTTTGGATCTTGTGCATGTGTTTGTGCAGAGTCACAGCCTGCTATTGGCAGAGGAAACAAGATACTATTTCACAGCATAATCCCTCAAGAATTCCCAGTTTTTTCGATGCTGCTTTGCGCCGTTTGGGCACCTGCGTCTTTTTGAAGGATCTCCAACCCTTTCGGCAAGCAATCTATAAATACTTTTTTTTTTTTTTTTAAATAGCTGTATAACACCAAAGCTTTCGGTGAAACATTTAACTCCACGATAGTGTTGGCTCCTATTTAGTTCTGTGTGCATGCATGAGTGGGTGTAAGAGAATGCGTGAGCTTGGGAATTGTTGCAGAAGCGTTTGTAGGGCTTCCCACTGTTGCTCTCCTTGTTTGAGCTCAGCATCTTCTTCCTCTGAGCTCAGATCAATGGGAACCCTCTCCCAGCTATCCATCACACATGTAATGGAGGCAGAGGCTTGGGGGAGAGCGCAAGAGAGCAAGGGAGGAAAGCAGCAGGGGGTGGAGGGGAGTATTGAGAGACTAAAAGAAGGAAAAAGACTTCCAGAAATGATGGGGTGATAGAGTGAGTGCAGCAGAGATTTCAGATATGAAGTGAGAAAAAGCCTGCGCAGGGGAGGAATGCTCAAAGCTGGGAAAAGTCCTGTATATCGAGAACCACTGAGTGCATGCAAATGAGTATCTTTTTCTCTCTGTTTATGTTGCTCAGGGTGTGCAGACATGAGAGAGTTCGCAGAAATTTGGTTTAGATGTAGAAGTAATTTGCAATTAAGTGTTCCACAAAGTTCGTAGTGTAGAGTATTTGCCTTTAGTCTCCCTCACCCACCCGATTCGCCCTTCCCTGTTCTCTCACCTCTAATTGCTCCCACTCACAATCCCCCAGGAGGGGAGGCTCTGACGTCACCCACCCGCTCTCCACCCCCTCCCCCCCTTGCTTCTCTCTATCCTCGATCCTTTTCCCTGTTTTCCCCTCCCTGCCCGTTTCCCACCTCCCCTCGGGTGTAGCTGTCACATGATCTAGTGTAGTGTGAAATTACTCCCTTCCCTACAATTCCCTCCGTCTTTCTGAGCCTGAAGATGTTTCTTTTATAACCACTCCTCTTTGTCTTTCTTACAATGGCACTCATCATTTTTTATCGCTTACCCCCTCCTCTCCTTCCCTCTCTCTCTGCTCTCCCCACCTCCCCTTGTCCATCTCATCTCTCAGGTGTAATAATCGCACTCAGTGTGTGGTGGTCGCAGGGTCAGACGTGTTCCCAGACCCCTGCCCAGGGACCTACAAGTATTTGGAGATCCAGTATGAGTGTGTCCCCTACAGTGAGTACTAAGACCTCCTCTGGCTTCCCCACCCCTCTCACCCCATTCATCACCCCTCCCACCCTTACCTCTATCTTAACCCCCCCTGGCCCCTCTTCAACTCCCCTCAAGAAGTGACAATTCAGTCACATGCACACACGCTTCCTCTCTCTCTGGATTTCCTTAACACAATAAAGACAAAACAAGAGACACATAAGTCCTCACCTGCTCTCCCTTTCTCTCTCTCTCTCTTTCTTCTTACTCTCTGCCACATTGCACAGACACAAACACCAACACCATCACAGAGCACTAAACCTTTTTTCTCCATCAGCAGAGTGATGCACCAGTACCTGAGGGGGATTTTCACATGGGAGGGGGCGGTGGGGGGAGACGGTCCACCAACACCGGGTCTGATAAGCACTTCACTCACGTCTACTGCAAACATGGGGTCAGCCCCTATTGGTGATCACAGCGGTGTAACAGACACCGCCCCAAACTCACGCGCTGATTAACCCTGGGGCGTGCTTCTGTCTTTATCTGCTGCCAAACACCTTTGCTGTCCCTCTGATTCTCAATAAAAAAGTAAAATTGGGCTCAGTGAGACTCTCAGGCCAAGGGGATGGAGGTGGGGGGGGGGGGGGGGGGAGAGGTTGTTGAGTGTTTTCCACACCTCACAGAAGGAAATGTTAACACAAACAGGCGAGGGGATTATTTTAGAGCACATGACCTGCAGTGCCGCACGTTTTACTGTCCCCATGGTAACGGCTGGCTTCCTGGCTGCTCTGCTCAAAAGTCTGCGGCAGGTGTGGGCTGCACAAATCCACACTCACACAAACAAAAAAATAAATAAATAAAAAAAAAGGAATGCAAGGGAGGGATGCACAAATTGCTCTTTTTTCCTCTTACTCTTCCTGTCTGAGTGAGCATCTACACACAGATGAGAGCACACTCGCGCAGCCCCAAAGAGCAGACATGGCTGTGATTATATGGTGTTGTGTTGATCCTCGCTCATGTGAAAATCTCCGCTCAGTCTCCCCCTCTCCCTCTCATTTATTATTACGCTCAGCATTGATCCCTTCACTGTGTGCAGGACTGCCTGTCTGAGGGGGGATGGCAGAAGTGTGCTCTACGGAGCAGAAGTGTTTGGCTTTTGGGGTTAAAAGTAATATTTTAGGCTGGGCGTGCTGTTTCATTTTTTTTAAGGATGGTTGTCTACTTTTTTTTTTTTTTTTGCAGAAATGAAGGTAGAGGTGAGCTGAGGACTGAGGAGACACCGACCAGCTAACTTCCTTATTCTTCTCTCTACCATTCTCTTCCTCTCCTTCCCTCAGTGGTCACTTTGACTGTTACCCCACACAGTCAGTCTGACTTCTTATCATGTCTCTCTCTCTTTTTCATTTTCTCAGCTTTTCTCTTTACTTTCAATGTACTTTCAAGTCCCAAACCTTTTTTTTTCTCACCTTTACTGGCATTTATCCCCATTTTTTTTCCTGCCTTTTAATCCAATTCTAGTCTTTTCATTCAATTCTATTTCTTCTTCTGTCTCTGTTGGTTTCTTTTTTTTTCAGGTGGGACAAATCAAATCCAAACAATCGTGGATTTCCAAGGACCCAGTTTACTCTCTGCTCTTGTTTTGCTCAGGGCTTTCTACCCTCTCTTCTTATTTTCTTCCAGGAGGTGTAAACAGCACGGTCACCATCTTCACCGGTCACACTTGTGCAAGTCCTGTAGTGTAGCTTTATGTCTATTGTTTACTGAGGGTAACAGTATCATCAATCAGTTGTTCCTGTTTCCTTTCCATCCTGTATCCTGACCTTGCATTATTCTCTTTGACTTTCAAGGGGAGCTTGTTCTCTATCTACCCAGCAATCAAAGTGTATCATGAATTGAGAGCTGCTGACTTGCATTTTTTCCCCTTTCTGTTTGTTAAAACCTTTGTTGATTTTGAACAAGCAATGAGCGAGCGGCGTAGAAAATTGGAAGCTGATCCCCATGCGATGAAAGGTTCTACATGTCTGAGACAAAATACAAACAACCAATATACTCCGTCCTTGTGTCACGCTCTGAATAAGCAAATGTAAACAAAACTGAATTCATATACAGCTCAGGCCGTGGGCTGTTTTTTGCATCTGGACTCGTCTGACAATGTGAGCACGACTCTTGACGTATTAAAACTCTGAGCTGGAACTTTTCTTCCTGAAGCCTATTCACCATCGCACCATACGCCACTCAACTCGGCCACTTTTAATTACCAGGAGAGGGAGGTGCTCTGCACTCTTCAGTTCTGCCTCAGCAGAGATTTGTCAAGATTAATTGAATTTGCTGCTACTAATCGCTCTGGTAATGCCCCATCGTTCACGTCTGACTGAGAATGCTGGGCACTTGGGTACCATTCAACTCTGACGCATGTTTCTTTTTTTTTTTTTTTTGTTGTTGTTGTTGCTGGTTGTCTCAACAAAAGGGTGAGGAAAGTGATATGTAAAGATTGTGTGTCATAGCACCCGAGATGGTGTGCAGCCAAGTTGATGGCTGAGTGGGATTTTGCATTTGACAGGGTCCTCCGTGTGAGTGGCGCTTGTGTGACACAGGCGCCATGTTGCCAGTCACCTGAAACGACGAGGTGACAGCAACAGCAGATCTGACACACACAACACAGTTCTGCCGCCTGAGCTCAGATATGACAGCGGAACACGTGTGTAAGGTCGCTGTGAGCGCGGTTGCCTTTGCAAAATACAACAAGTCAAATCATATCTCATTGAGCTAAAAAGCCCTGCAGGAGCCTCCCTGCCACGTAGCATTGTTTTTTTTTTTTTTTTGCCATTTGAAACAGAGCAGGAGAAAATGGCTCAACTGAACTCTCATTTCACACTGTCACATCCCGCTGTAGCCTGCTGGATTCCATTAAGAAATCACAGATCCATAAACACAGCTGCAGCATGTGTTTACTGCAGTGAGACGCCCCCACTGCAGTCTTAACGCAGGGTGAATAGTAAACCTGGCCTATGAGGGAGTTCTACCTGTTCCCCCTCTCTCTCAAGAATACGTTGCTAGATCATTATTGATTCTGAGTGGCCTCCTTTAGGGTCATCCATACTTGCCAGGCCAGAACATTTAGCCCTTGTTAATATGCACCGTGCTGGTTGATATACGGCACTGTGGCAACTCTGCTTGCCTTAACGCAACAGTCTCCTGTATTTCATTCAGATTTAGCCACTCTCCCACTGTTTCACTTTACGAAATGGATTCTTCCACCAAAAATGTATTCAGCACTGCCTATTCATTACAAGGCGCTGCTTTTTTTGGACACAAATCTGCTGGAAGTGAGAGTTGACTTGTCGAGAAGAGTTTGTCAGTGAAAAGAATAATAGCATTGTAATATGACAAGTTTTCAGGGGGAGGAGAGGCAGCACTTTGATGTAGCTTAAAATGAAAATCTATTAATATGTATAGGGACACCGTCAAGACGTGGGGGCTCATAAATGTTTGGTGAGTGAGAGGCAGGAGGCTTCACTCTGGCCTTGGGAAGAGATGACTTTTTTTTTTTTTCTAGGACAGAGTGAAACGGGCGAAGAAGAGAAAACAGAGACGGGAGAGGGCAGGAGAAACCGAAGAAGACACACTATCTCTCGACACTTGGAAGAGGAGACAGAGACGACTAAGTCGCCTCACAGAGCAAAAACATTATACCTGTGCGCAGCCTGCAGTGTGTGTTTCTAGTTGCACTCATTGCTGTGGGAGTAACTGATAGGGTTGTGGAGAGCACCGAGCAGAGTGATTAACAGCAGAGAGGGCAGCAACGTATTTCTCAACAGAGCCCGGAAAGAGGAGTGCTAAAGAATCAGACAAACATCCAAAGTGGCCTTAATCCAACCTTCAGCTCACTGCGATGACAGCGTGATGAGTTTCTGTCTCTTATTTCTGTTTGTCTGTGCACGTTTGCAGGAATGTGTGCCGCTGTGCGAATTTGTGTTTTGCGCTCTATTTTTCAGGCAACTAAGAGTAGAAGAAATGGAGTCAACACAAGTCTTCCACCTCCCTGATTTCATATTCTTTCTCTCCGCAGCAGAGAAGAAGCTTTATTTCCCTTTCTCTCTCTGTCTACATGCCACTGCAGTGTATCACCCACCATTTCTGCCACTTGAAAAATATATTCCTAGTTGAGCTTTTAGAAAATTGCATTCCGTTTTCTATTTTATAAGAACCGCGGACACAAACTGGAGTAAAGCGGAAAACCTCTGCCGTCAGCACTTTTTTGCTCAGACATGGAAAAATACTGCCTCCTTTGCCCTGCAAAAGTATTTAGACCCGCTAAATTTGTTTTATGTTTTGACAAACCTAAAATGAGCTTTGCCACTGCAAAGCTTACTTTTTTATTAATGGGATTTTATATAATAAACAAAAAAATGCTTAATGGTGAAGTGAAAAAAGAGTTCTACATAAGTTACTTTTTTTTCACAAAAACCTGCCTGGAAAGGACACTTTGTTTCCTCATGATTCAATATTTTGTAGAAACACCATTACAGCATGTACAGCTGATCTTTGGAGCCTAGCCTCATAAATATGCTTTAACCTAAGCTTCCCCTTGTAGCAGGGCCAGCATGTTTAGGTTCACTGTAATCCATAAAGGGGAGCTTTGGCCCTAGAATCAATTATTTTACAGACTTTTGCAGGTTTTCTCACAGTTTTGCCCTGGATTTGTCTCCATCTGTCTTCCCTGATCAACTCTGACTAGCTTCCGCATCCCTGTTGAAGAAAATGGTTGAGACATGTAATGCTCTCCTTGCCCACAGCCAAGATGATGGGTCGAATGGCACTCTGTGAGATATTCATAGGATACTTATTTATAGCCTAACTCTGCTTTAAACTTCTCCACAACTTCATCTCTGGCCTGTTTGCTTTGTTGTTTAGTTTCCGTGATGCAGTTTAAATGTTCACTAATCTGCCCGAAAGACAGACTTCACAGACTTGACTTTCACAGAAAAGATTGATTTACATTGAGATTTAATTACTCTATCTACTCC